ATGTAATCCTCCAACTGTGTGTTAATAGACCAAAAGGTAGGTCCGCTTCTGGCCACTGTGCACCAGATCTAGTTTAAACAACTGTGCGTATTTCACTTGAGTAAAGCAACTCTGGGTGGATTTTAACTTTTATCTTCTTTTGCTTATTTGTATTTCATGATTTTTTTAATAATATGTATTTACTGACTAGGTTTATTTTTTTTTTTTTTTAGAGGCATGTTTTATTTGTTTGTTTGTTTGTTTGTTTGTTTTGTTTAAACATGCACTGGGTACAGTCAGAAGCGCGGGAGGGTGAGAGAATTCACCAGAGCCAGAGCGGGGAGCAGAACAGGCAGAAGGACCAAGTACACTGCTGAGGGGAGCAGCGGGCGGCAGGAGAGGTCTGCGCGCCATGTGGGACCCTCCTCCGGTGGCCAGGGAGCAGCCGGGGATCGAACCGGTGCCGCAGAGTACTGACTAGGTTTAAATAGATGTGTGCACTTTGTGTGTAAATGTGTGTGTATAACTACATGAAAAGATTTTAAAATAATTAAGTAAATAAAATATCCATTTGAAATGAATAGTCCAGTAAAGGAAGGCTCAAAGAAGAAAGGGGAGCAGAGGGAAAGGAAGGTAGGAAGGAAGGAATGAAGGAAAGGGGAAAAGAAGAAAGGCTTAAGGAACTGGGATTATTTTGTCTGAAGAAAAAAAAGTTACTTGAACAATTTATTCAAAGACCGATGACTGGTCCAGTGTTTGGGTTATAGCAAGACTTGAGATTTGTTGAACAGCTAACACCAAATTAACAGAGTTTGTATTGGCGGAGGTCCCTGATGTTCTTGATGCCAACAGAGCAAGCATTTCTATGAAGGCAGGAGACATTTTGGTTAAATGGAAGAAGGAGCTTCTCAGTCAGTAGATTAAGAGAACACAGAGAAGCTCTGATGCAACAGAGACTGGGAGAACTCAGGCAGAAGATGTCACCACATGTCCTGGAGGACAACCTCACCTAGAGGTTGTCCACCTCACCTCACCAGACCCCTCCAGCACCATGAGAGAAGTGAGGGCAGGAGTCTTGGTAAGGCTCAGAGAAACAGAAAAGGAAAGTCTCCTGACAGTGCAAGCCTCTGTTTTCACCCATGGGGAAGCAGACCACTCCACTGCTGAGGTATTCTGACATTCAAGGGCCGGCCAGGGGTGCAAGAGATGAAAACAGTGGGTGAGGGAACATCACCAGGGAGGGCTCTGGAAGTCCTAAACATTAATGTCTCCAAACTTATTTGGTTTTCCTAGAACCCCATATTTCCTGCCACTGAGCTACTGTCCCCCCAAACCATGCACCCTTTAAACTATCATTTTCTCTATTTATATACCTCTCAAGAGTCTGTATTGAGGGTGACACAGGCATCCTGGCTTCATCTCCTAGCTCTGTCAACTACCAGCTGTGTGACTTTAAGCAAGTAAAATTTAATCTCTCTGGGCTTCATTTTCGTCAATTCTAAAATATGGGCAATAATGGTAGCTACTTGCAGAGGTGGTTGTGTGGAATAAATAAGGTAGGGCATGAAGGGATTGAACATGGACCTGAAACTTAGTAAGAATAAGAAATGTTTGGGTATTATTATCAATTATCATGAGTATTAAACACCTGGTACTGTGTCATTTACTCTGAGAGACATCAACCAAGATTTCTGTGGCCAAAACAAGTAGAAAAGTTAGGCAAGGCTGAATATTTATTCAGTAGCACATAATCCATACTGAGGTCACTGTTCTCTTCACTTGGGACAGCAGTCTCCGCCCCACAGGGGGAGGACTCCCCTCGCACAAGACCCTGTGATTGAGCCCTGCATGAAGACACAAAATTGTTGATTTTCTGTCTTTGAGTGACACTTAGTCTAATTCAGTGCTCCAAGAGCCCTTAATTAGTTGAGTACAATCCCTGCCCATCAGACGATCCAAATGCCAACCCAGGGAATCCGCAGTCGCTCCCCACTTGAAATGCCAATGAAGCCCAGAAAGGGGTGTTACGCTGGCTTCTAGCCACGCAGATCCACTCGCAGTCAAACTCTCTGGGAAAGATTGCCTTTCTTGCTTCCGTAGGCCTCAAAATGCAAACCAAACGCTGGGAAGGTAGGATAAAACAGGGGCTCCTGTGTATTGCTTATGTCAACATAAATAGGTCTCAAAAGGCAACAAGCCCCCACCTTTTTTTTTCACTTTTTATTTTGCTATAACCATAGATTCACAAGAAGTAATTACTAAGGACTAATTAGAGAAGTCCTGATTTCCTTCTTGCATAACTATTTCACAACCAGAAAATTGACAGTAATGCAATCACCAGCTTTACTCAGACATCCCCAGTTTTATATGTTCTCCTATGTGTTTGTGTGTTTAGTTCTTTGCAATTTTATCATGTGTAGACCCATGTTAACACTATGCATGTCACAGAACAATACCTCTGTCACTGCTCCACACGCCCCTTGGCAAACTGTGAGCTCTATGATTTTGTCATTTAAAAAATGTTTATAAATGGCATCAACAGTGTGTAGCCTTCTGAGATCGGCTTTTCCTTCTCAGCCCAATTTTCTTGAAATCCTCCCTACTTGTTGAGTATATTGAGAGTTTGTTCCTTTTTTGCTACTAATTACTATTCCATGATATGGATATACCATCATTTCTTGATTCTCCTGTTGAATATATATTTTATCCACCTGTTGTTGTTTCCAGGTTGGGGCTGCTAGAAATAAAGTTGCTTTGAACATTCCCGTATAGGTTTTTGTGTAAACATCTATTTTTATTTCTCTGGGGTCAATGCCCAAAAGGACAATTGCTGGGTTATCTGGAAAGCATATATTTAGTTTTCAAAGAAACTGCACCATTTTGCAGACTCCCCAGCAGTGTCAGAGTGATCCACTGTCCAGTTCCTTGCCATTGGTACTGTCACTAATTTTTATTTTAACCATTCTGAGAGGTGTGTAGTGAATTCTCTTTGTGGTTTTAATTTGTATTTCCCTGATGGTTAATAACATTGAACATCTTTTCACATGCTCATTTGCCATCTGCACATGCTCTTCGGTGAAATGGCTGATGCTGTCTTTTGCCCATGTTCTAATCGGATTACCTGTTTTACTGTTTACTCTCCAGAGCTCTTTATAGATTCTAGATATAAGCCCTTTGTCAGTTATGTGCTTTGCAGATATTTTTCTTGTAGTCTGTAGCTTGCCTTTTCATCTTCTTCACAGGGTCTTTGGAAAAGAGGACATTTTTAATTTTGATGAGGTCTAATTCATCAGGTTTCCTTTTCTGAGCTATGTTTTTGGTGTCAGGTCTAAGACCTCTTTGCCTAGACCTTGCTCATGACAATTTTCTCCTATATTTTTCCAAAAGCATTATAGTTTTATGTCTTCTATGTAGATCTTTGATCCATTTGCGTTCATTTTGGCATGATATGTGTGGTAGACGTCCAATTGTTCCAGCACCATTTGAACAACCCTGTTTAAAAAGCAATTTGACAATATTTACCATGAGCCAAAAGAATCTCCAAAGCTTTCTTCCTTTCACTTCTGGGAACTCATCCTAAGGAAATAATGCAAAAGTATGAATATAAGCTATGTTTGGAAAAGTGTCCTGTAACTTTTTTTACAAAATGGAAAAAATTAGAAGTGATAAATACCCAATAATAAGGGATTGATTGAGTATGGTACACACAGAGAACAATATGCAACTACTAAAAATATATTAGCTGAAAAACTTTCACCCATTTAACAGATATTTACTTGGTATCCATACTGAAAACTCAGTCTAGAGAATAGAGAAAATAATTCTGTCACTTAGAAAACATTTCGTAAACTAAAGAAAAGTCAGGAAACAAAATTGTTGGCACAAAGTGGTTAAAACAAAGGCATGCAGAAAAGACACAAACAATCATATTCTTTTAAAGTGATTGGATCAAGGGCAGTTTTTTTTCCATCTACCTATTTTCCATACATCACATAGCGCTTTCTTTCTTTACTAAGAACAATAAAGAGAAAAGCTTTGATGACAAATAGCTTCTTGCCATGCCCATCTAAACTGGCCACAAAAATACATACAACAAATCCAAAGGGTGTGGAAAAGACCATGACAGTGAGGCATCCCAGTATGCAGCTAAGCCGAAGGGTGACTGGGTCAGTCAGCATGTATCAGTGGGTACTTGCAAAGTGCCCTGTACCGCCTGGGCACTGAGAAAATGGGTGTAAGAATGGACAGCCCTGGGCCTCCCCGGTGGCGCAGCGGTTGAGCGCTGGGTTGCGAAGCTACCCGCGGCCTCTGCAGCGCCGGTTCGATCCCCGGCTGCTCCCCGGCCACCAGAGGAGGGTCCCACATGGCGTGCATACCTCTCCTGCCGCCCGCTGCTCCCCTCAGCAGTGTACTTCGGTCCTTCTGCCTGCTCTGCTCCCCGCTCTGGCTCTGGTGAATTCTCTCACCCTCCCGCGCTTCTGACTGTACCCAGTGCATGTATAAACAAAACAAACAAACAAATAAATAAAGCATGCCTCTATTAAAAAAAAAAAAAAAAAAAAAGAATGGACAGCCCTGACATTTCAGAGCTCTTGTAGGGAACCCTGATCTCCATCTTCCCCATGCTGTTCAGGGCTTCACCCTACAGCTTATGTGTTTGCCATATGGTCTTCTCCACAAACCTGCATGGAGGGTGGTAAGGGAACAGGGAAAACGCCCTTATCCCCACTTGTCAGACAATAAGGTGCAGAGAGCTTGAATGACTACCCAATCGCACAGATGATAAATGGCAAGCCCGGGCTTGAGAACTGGCCTTCGGTCTCCAAGGCCAGTGCTGACCTCAGAACACCACAGCTGCCATGACAGCGAGCACAAAGCAAGTGAGTGGTTGGCAGATAAGTGCAGCGAGAATTTCATCACATGAATGGGAAGGCACAGACCTAGGGCAGGGGTGGCCTCCTTTCCCCGCAAGGGGTCAAGGTCATGAGAGGAATGTGATCACCTGTTCTCCTTCTCCCCAGATGGTGAAGGCAATCCAGGTGCTGAGAATTCACCTGCTGGAGTTGGAGAAAGTCAATGAACTCTGCAAGGACTTTTGTAACCGTTACATCACCTGCCTCAAAACCAAGATGCACAGTGATAACCTGCTCAGGAATGACCTCGGGGGACCCTACTCCCCAAACCAGCCCTCCATAAACCTTCATTCACAGGTAACACACAGCACGGGGTGCTGTCTCCCTGGTCAGGTATAGAAATGTCTCCAGCTGCCCTGGAGACCTAGGCACGGGGATTAGACTCCTTTTACATGAGACCCTCTAATCTAGTCCCGGGCAGCAAGGCCCTCTCTTGCCATTGCTCACGCCAGGACAATCTCTTTCCCTAGAAGATGCCCAGATCTCAAAGGGACAACCTCCAAGTGGTTAGGCTTCCTGGCCTAAGATGAATGCAAGATTAAAGGGGTAGAAAGCTTCCCTGGAGGCTGAAGCAGGGACAGAGCTGGGGCTAGACCCACACATCCTAGACTCCTCAGGAAGACTGTGGCTTGCTCAGGCCCCTGTGCTCCTGGGAAGGAGAGTTCAGCAAAAATGGTCCTTCCCCAAGTCCCATCTACCTGTCAGGTGAAGACAGCTTTCCTGGGACTGCTTCTCCCCCATCTTCCTATTCTTGCTCACCCTACCCTGGCACATCTGTCTCCCCAAGGCTCAGGGCCACTGTCAATGTCACCTCAAGTCATCCCCTTTGGAGGTTCCTGGGAACTGGGAAATGTGGAAAGGGCAGCTCTCTGCTCTACGTGAGAATGGGCCCACCTCCTGGGCAGAATATTTCCCCCAAACCTACACGCTGAGAAAGCTGCCTGGCGAGGTCTTTCTATCCAGACTCACTGGCATCTACCTAAGCCATCAATTCCCCACTTTCTCCCTCTGCCATTGAGTTCCTGAGTCCAGGATGGGCACATGGAGGGCCCCCCAGCAGCCTCTTCTCAAGAGACAATCAGGATTGGCGCAACGGGTAAACTTTCTAAAAATGATTGGCAAGAGGTGTTAGAAAAGGTGCGTTAAAAAGCAGATGTCATTTTTTTTTTTTTAAGATTTATTCATTTATGCATACAAGAGCTGGGGTACAGGCCAGAGATGTGGGGGGTGAGAGGATTCACCAGAGACAGAGTGGGGAACAGAACAGGCAGACTGACTGAACTACACCTCTGAGGGGAGCAGTGGGCAAGACAGGAGAGGTCCGCTGTGCCACGTGGGATTCTCCCCTGAGGGCCACGAGTGGAACTCGTGCTACAGAGGCCGTGGATCACCTCCTAGTGTGGTGCTCAACCCGTTGCACCACCAGGGAGGCCAGATGTCATTTTTATCCCTAAATTTTAAGGACCAACACATATACTCTATCTCTCCTGGTTCACAGGGTCAGGGGAAGGAACATGGTGACCTGTAGAAGGCCAGCCAGGCCTTGCATATTTTGATGTGGCAAATATCACATCAAACCCACCCCGATAGCATCTCTATGGGAATCAATAGTGAGTACTGCATGGGACACGAGGCAGGAAGTTTATTTCCTCTTGCCATTGCTTGAAATCACCAAATCACTTTATAACAGATCTAAAAACAGCCGCCCAGGCTTCTGCTTGCTAATATTCTCTTGAAATAGACTCATTCCTTCAGAGTCTTATTGTACTTTCCCTTATGATCAAAATTAGCAAGAAACTTGCATAAAAGAGGACAATAATTGCTCAACGAGCATCTCGTTTGTAATTTATTAGTTTCTATTATTGTGGGTTACCATGGCGACGCTGCGCAGCCCCGGTGACGGGAGAGATGCAAGATAGGAGCCGAGGAGGCTGTGAGGCCTCACCAAATGGAGATGCACATTTTTATCAGTAATTTTCATGAAAATAATAAGTGAGGAGTTAATGAGATGGAAAGCCATCCTGTGGCTATTGTGAATTTTTTTTAAGTGTTGATCTAATTAGAATGCATCGGTCAGGAAAAGTAATGAGGATTTAGTGCCTCACAGAGATGTGAGGATCATATCAGAAAATTAGCACAAGTCTTTGGAAATAATCAGGTCCTTGGAGAGGCACTGGATTTCCCCTCCTGGGCCCTCCGACTTTACCTCCAGTCTGGCTCTGGCGTTGGGGTGGGGAAGGGTGGGAGGTAGCAGGGCCTCGGGGGAGGACAGGAAGGCCAGGGGGTTTGGAAGCTGCTGGGGCTGGGACTGACAAGTTAGTCTGCAGCAAGCAGGGTCACTGGAGACAGGAGCTGGCAGAGAAAGGAAACGTGGGCTTGGTGAGCCAGATCTCAGCGACGCCGCCTGCAAAAGTCAGTCCTCTGGGGGAATCCCAGTATCCGGTGCTTTAAGCTTTGAGGAAAGAGGAAAGAACTTTGATTCTTACCACTTGAAGGATCAGATCTCAGCCTGATAGGGAAACCCGGCTGGGGGTGGCTACTGCAAACAGGTTCTTATCCACCTAGAACTACGAACCCAAAATAAAGACATCCAGAAAGAGGAAAAGACACTTAGCAAGGTATTCCTACTTGGTGTTTCTCAAATTTGTGCCTTCATTGCCTCTGACTTCCACCACATACTCATACTTCAGTGGGTAAATAGGTCATTTCACATAGCCTTCTGCCCTGTCATCCTAACCCATCTCCTGAATTCTCTGGCTACTCCTCACCCCTACACACACACACACACACACACACTGCAAACTTACAATGTGCACTTACGTGCATGCATCAATCTCCCCACACATACATACACTCACATCCATGCACACACATATGAATACCTATGTGTGCACCTGAATGCAGTGTCACGTATACTGTCACACCTATGCACACTGCTAAAACTTCTGCTGTTGGATGTGTCTTCCTGAAGCTCTGTTAGCATCATGATCATCCTGCTCAAAGACTGTGGCTGCCCCTCAGAGTACTCAGGTCCTTTCACCTGACATTCAAGGCCCTTCCCAGTCACCATTCCTCGGTGCCTGTCTGGGTGACACCGCCACATCTGCAAGACCAAATACTCAGGACAGCATTAAGCTGCCCTCCCCAGAGAGGCCTCCCTGATGCCCATCCAGAATGGACCCTTCTTTCACTCACTAACAACTGAAGCATTTTGGCCTTGTCCATGGTCAATGTCACATGTGAGTTTCTATTTAGTGACTTGTATAGTCTCAGTTTCCTGATATTTTTTATTTATTTAAAAAATTTATTTATTCATGCATACAAGAGCTGGGATATAGGTCAGATGTGTGGGAGGGTGAGAGGATTCACCAGAGACAGAGCAGGGAACAGAACAGGCAGACTGACCGAAATACACTGCTGAGGGGAGCAGCGGGCGAGACAGGAAAGGTCTGCTGCGCCATGTGGGTATCTCCCCCACAGGCTGGGATCGAACCTGCACTGCTGAGGCTGCAGACAGCTTCACAGTGCTACGCTCAACTGCCTGCGGCACCAGGGAGGCCCCTGCTATTTTTTAGTAGCAACAGTATCTTGTATAGTTTTATAACCCATGCTCGACACTGGCTGCCACAAGGCCTTGTACACGATAGACTATCAGTAAATATTTGTTGAAAGCAGCAATGCAGCGAGGCAGGTAGAGAGAAAGAGGGTAAAGAGAGCAAGAGGATGTCAAAGGGGGAAAGGAAGATAGGAAAGGGGAATAAGAAGGGGGATGTCAAAGGGGGATAGGAAGAAAGACAAGGGAAGAGAAAGACAAATATTGAAGGTCACGTTCAAAAGGCAGAGAGAGAAAGCTGAAGAATGGGAGAAAAAGAGCAACAAAGGGAAGGAGACATAGACCCAGGAAAGGAAAGAGAAGCTGAGAAAATAATCGGGCAGGAAAAGAGGTGGGTGAGAAATGGCAGCAACAGTGAGGTGACGGCACAGGCAGGACAGCTGGGGGCCAGTGCCCAGGCTGAGAAGGTGAGCAGGGCACGCCAGGGATCCCCGTCCTCCGTGCAGGTCAGGTGGCTGTCACTGTCCCCCTGCAGGAGGGAGGGGGCCAACAAAGGTCTCCAGGAAGGAGAGACTCAAAGTTCCCTCAGTATAGAGGCAGGTCCTGGAGGAAGGCAGCAGGACCAGAGTGGGAGAGAAGTGAGAAAGGCGTGTCTGGGGCTCGTGTGTGTGTGTGTGTGTGTGTGTGTGTGTGTGTGTGTGTGTGTGTGTGTGTGTACACATTCATCATGGTTCGACCTTAATCCCCCCCAGCCTGAAATAGCTGCACTGAGCGCCAGCCTGGCCCAGGAGGGTGTCTCCCTCTGGAACATGATCTCCCCGATCAACATTCCAGCTACCGCCAGCTTTGTTGCAAACTGCTGGCTCATGGTTTCCCTGTGTGCTAATCATTCGCCCTTGTGTTGCCAAGTGGGAGATATTTTTTTTATTCAAATCACCCCGCCCCTCAGAAGCTAGCCTGTGTCCCCATCCAGACCTCTGGGGCCTGCACATATTCCCAGCTCGGCCTGGCATTTCTATATCTGAGTTTTCTCTTTGGGGGAAGGTTGGGGGTAAGGCGTGGGAGAGACTGCATCTACCCAGCAGGACTAAAGCAGCGTTCCCAAGGACCTGGGCCACAGCTGATTCTTACTACCTCCCTAGGAACCTCCCCATCCTGCCTGTACCTACTGACACCAGCTTCCTTGCTTCTCAGAGCTCTGCCCCCCGCCCAGGCCAGCACCATCAGTAAGAAGGCACCTTCTAGATTCCAAATCTGGGTTCTGCTGTCTTTTCCTAGAGGCACCAACTAAAAACCATTGCACTAGAGAGAACCAAACTCCGGCCCTGCTCAAGTAATAATTTGACCCAAAATGCATCTCTCTTTCCCCATGGAGATTTAAACCTCAGCAAATTGGGCTGAGCCACTGTTCTCACTCAGTCACAACATTCTGGGGGCATTTACTGTGCTAGGTCATGGGAGAATATAAGCAAATTGTCCAGGAGGAGCTCCCAGTGTCAGGGGGATGGAGCTCAGCTTCACACCTGAGGATTTAGAGGGGTTACGTGAGCCAGAGCTCGGGATCAAGGGGACACTGAGGAGGGGCTGGAAAGGATTTGCTAGTGAGATGGGAGAGGAGCCCTAGGAAGGGGTCTGGATGGAGCAGAATCACCAGTCAACCTCCTTCTTCCCCAGGAAAAGCCTAGGTCCAGTGTGTGCACCCTCATGGACAGGGTCTGTTTCTGCTTGGACAGATGAACAAACC